GTTGAGATTTACTCACTCCTAGTTTCCACTAGATAAACTAGTCTAACTACCATTTAACTCTATTGAGTTAAGTGTTTGAATTGTCTTTAGAATATGAAATCAATCAAATAATCACTTACAAGTCATTAGATAATTACTCTCATAGAGAGGATTTGCTTACAATACAATTCAATCTAATAGACTTTTGATTTTCTCTCATCTTACAAATGTAAGCTTTTAACTATATAACGCTATGAGAGTATTCTCTAGAGAATTTTCTTCCCCGAGGATAATTTTTATTTATATCCACTCGTTGGGTGAGGCCTAAAACTTCTTGCTCGCTAGGCAAGAGAATCCTCTCGTAAGGCGAGTGTTAAAAATTAAAGTTTTAGGGTTTGGGTCTACTTTGGAGACACCTTCGTCTATAAAGAAGGTGTCTCCCCCTTGCACAAACACTTGAATAATCCAAATGTTATGCTGCCAAAGTATTTATGCAACCATATATTGTTTCAATTGAAGGTTAAAGCATCCCATGTGGTCTCCTTTAGCCACCCTTATCTAGAGTTAGCCCAATCTCTCAAGAGAACCATAAAACATTTCCATCCCACCATAAATACTCACAAAACACTCACCATAATCATGAGCATCTACCACCATCTCCATACTTTTCGTGCTACTTCTAACACTTTGGAACCTTCAAACTTTTACGAACTAAAATCATTTTCAAATATGGTTGAGAGGTTCTTGTTAAGAAATGGAATTGAGCACCAAAGACTCCCCCAAACACCTAAAGAGTGGCACCATAATAGATCACAAAAACCAAATTATAACTAGAGTAGAAAATGGATTCTTCTAGTTTTCACAAGCAATGAACTAATGGTGCACTATGAACATTATTTTAGCATCAAATACATGAAACCAAGTTGTTGTTTTAGGTCTAGAATTCATGTAAACAACAAGCAATAGTCAACATAAAAGTTCTCACAACAAACTAGTGGTAGTGGTCCTTACACACACTTTTGCCTTTTGCTTTTGTACTTTTTCTTTCATACCTTTGGTCTCTTTTTTTTTTAGGCCAATATGAGTACCACTACACATTACAATGTTTTACATATTCTTCTTAGAAGCTCAAAAGTTCAAACACACAAAATGGAAGAAATCCTATTAAAATAAAAAAAATAAAGTATGAAACGTTAACAAACATGTAAAAAACTTAACTATAAGAACTTGTCAATGATCTAATAATAAGTATGAACTAAAAAATAAAAAGTAAAAGCACTCAAATGGACGTATATGGTGCAGTTTTAAAAACCAAGTTGAAGATATATTTTTGTGATTTTTCCAAAAGTTAGACTAAGAGAAAATGATATGTAAGGACTAACATGCCTCTCGAATACATGGATGGATTTCAAAATGAAAAATGACCCAACAAACATGATATAACCGAATGATAACATAAAACAAGACTTAACAAACATAAAAGCACACAAACAACACAAGTATATGGAAGCCTAAAGCAAATATGTGAATGGTTTCAAAGAAAGAACAAGACTAGAACCATGAAAACAACATAGTTTTGACTTAAAAATGAGACAATAAAAAACAACACATGGACAACAAATAAAAGCAATAAGATAGGTAGGACCGAGAAAATTAACTCTTGTAGAACAACAACTCTTGATACCAAATGATGGTTTCTTTCTCAAGCTAGGTTGGACTAAAGCATGAAAGTGAGTCTATGGTGAAGAACAGTGCGAAAGTTGGTGGTGGATGAGAATATATGTCTCGATTTTGGTGTGTTTGTGGTAAGATGGAGGTGTTTGATGATTTTCTTGAAAGGTTGGACCAACTCTAAGAAGGGTGGTTAGAGGAAACCGCACGGAATGTTATAGCCTTAAGTTTAGACAAGATATGGCTGCATAAATATTTTGGCAATATAATATTATAATTTTCAAAGTGGTTTTACAAAGGGGCAGATACCTCTGTTTATAAGATAAGATGTCTCCAAAATATGTAGACACAAAATCCTAAAATTGCTACCTTGGTGCAAATCTTAAAAAAGATTTCATCTTGGTGAAACAGAGGAGAACATGTGACCACTAACTTTTAGAAAAACTATCTACTCTTAAAGTATATATGGCAACTACTCTTGCAAAAGTTTTCCTACTAAAATTATGTCATATAACCATTTCTCCTAATATGGGATGTCCTCCTCTTTTCCTTGTCCATCAATAATCTTAAACTAAACACAAATTGAATAATTAAAAACCTTATACTACTTGACTCATGATCCAATATCTAAAAGAAAAACCTACCCTATTTGATATTTAATACTAGATCTAAATATTCCTAAGCTATTATATATGTTCCATAAGAATAAGATTTGCTTCAGAATAATTATAATTATTCTTAGGCTTGAATTATGACTATGACATGATAATTTCAAACCCTAGACCACAAACCAATTCCCCTCCCTCCCAAATGATTATAAGAACATAAAAACGAACTTACCAATCTTTCTTCACAAACTTACCCACCAACAACAACAAAATCCTAATAAATCGATGCTCAGACCACCAACGAAGTCCTTAGTGTCAACAAAATCATAATAAATCACAAGCTTCAAATTTTTTTCCGCATCCACATCCACTACTCCATCTACAAAAACGATACACATAATTAACTTTTTCAAAATTACGTGTCATCTTCTTCAACCACACTCAAACACATGTTTATTTAATTTAAATCCACTGTGTAACGGTGTTTGCCCCATCATAAACAAACAGTGGAACATCGTTGGTTTGGTTGTAGAGGATGTCATTCATTCATGAAGTGTATGAATGAAATTAGTGCAGGAACAAAATATAAGTTCAGTTATAAATTCAAAAATTTAAAAACATATTTATTCTTAAATAAATTTTCTCCTGTATTACTCGTATTATCGTAAGCATTTTCGACAAGTTTCACTAATAAAGTAGAATATTGGGTACATCTTGTTGTTCTATAGCAGACGTGGGACCATGGGACCTGCAGCTGCAACTTCATTTACCTGTTCCTCTTAAACTCTTCTATATCTTTATTCAACTATCTAATTTTATACTTTTATATTTTTTTCTTCAAAAGAAATTCACAATGAATAATAGTTATCACATACACACACACACATATATATATATATAAGAAGTATAAGGACTAACGTAAAAAACACTTGAAAAATATGAAAAACAAGATAACAGACTAAAACAGTCAGCCCAATTAATTGAAACAGAAACAGAATAAACCTCAGCTTTCTGATTGATTTGAGAAAGCAGCGTGCAGGAAAATTTTCTCTGAATATTTCTATACAAAATTTTAACATAAGAAGTAAAATAAAAACGCGAAAATATATTTAAAATTAAAAAATAACAATAGAAAATATGATCATCAAAGCAATGAATTTAAGTTATTTGGAAGGAAGTGAGGGTTAAAAAGCTAAAAATGACTTTATGTGCGGTGAAAGATTGGGAAAGTAAAGTAAGGAGGAAAGTATGAGTAATTGGTTGTTTTGTCATGCGTGAGGATGTAAGTAATGAAAAAGGCTTAATGGGAGTGTGTGTTGCGTGGTGGTTCCTGATTTGACCCATTGAGTATTGTGGTTTAGTCTACCACACCACCACCAACGATAGTTGACACAATACAACACAAAACACATCACACGTAGTACTTGTTCTATCAAAACTACAAAATTTGTGTTGTGGAAATCATCATCAATGTGTTGAAACAAAAAGTCTACCCTCATTCATCCTAGGTTGGAATTGAACCATATTACACGGCCACCATTTTTCTTCTCCAAAGGATGTCCAAAATTTGGCAGATCACATGAGACATTGCACCACGCGTGTGCTAGATCAATACCAGTGCAACTGTTACAAGAAAAGACACAAGTTCAGGATTCAATAGTGCAATTGTAAAATATTATCTTCTATTGTGCAATTTCAAACAACAATACATTTAAGGGTAATTTTTCTACCATATATGATTCACAACTATTCTTAAAAACAATCCAGTTCCTGTAATACAATACAATTTCATTCTTTTTTTTCAATTATTGAGTTGCTAAGCAAAGTGTCAAGCTAACTGAAGCTATTTGAGGCTTATCAGAATGATAGCTCTTCTTTCTTGCTGTAACTGAGAAATGACAGAAGAGACTACACTGTTTGATACTGCATCCTAATTACTTAAATCTAAATACATTGAATAATCCAAGGTTCTTTATTGTTTGTTTTTATATTATTGAAAAGGGTGATTGATAACATAAGGCCAATGGTTGGGGCAGTGAAGGAGGAAAAGGGTAGAATTTATTCTCTAATAACATTGATAACAGTTGGAATTGGACCCAAGAAAACAATGATCCAGCATGAATGCCCATGTTGGTCCCCTCACAACTCACATGCTCTGCTGAGAAACTTCCACAAGCCAATATACACTTCTGTTAGGGGAACTAACAAACCGAATGAAACTTTACATGTAGATAATGCAAATGAAGTAGAGGAGGTTGTGCCATTCATTTCACCTTGTTCAAAAGTCCAACTTTGAATTATTACACGACATCTATCATCCATTCAGGGACTTGATTGTCCTAAAACAGCTTCAACCTACGAAGTAGATGAAAAGGAATATTGGTAGTTACCAAACTTGTTGGCATCCACTACCATTACTAGCAGCTGCCATGCCTTGCCTTTCTTCAATTGGCCTAAGCTCATACAACTTTCAAACAATTATTTATTACCTTATCCTACGACATGTTTGAACAATCACCACTCACAAATATCACGTCATACAAAATATCCTATCTCAGTACCATGTCAATGGTGTGTTACACACCTCATATGACCAAAATAGTGTATGTAACGTAACTGGGAAAAAACAATTCTCACCGTTTAAGTTAACTCTTCTGGAATTGAGTTAGGCTCATCCAGATTTTAAGAAAAGTACCATTTTTTAATAGCATTTCATTCATATAGAAAATCCTGAGATGTTTATAACAGGCTAAAGAAAGATGAAATAGTTCTTAGGAATCGAAACTAGTCAATTTTACAGACTTTGTTCATTTAATCAGTGATCCTCACCCTCTCGAAATAAACGGCTGGTTAGCCAAACTATAACAAAACCCAAAATCTGCGGCAACAACATCAATCTCTGCTTGCATCACTTAAAATATGTACAGTAGCAACTCAAGCCAATCACGCAAAGGTTTTGACAAATTGAATGATGGACTTGATCTTGGTTAAGCTCTCCACATAGTTCATGCATTTGTAGATTGCGTTGGTAACTTAGGGTGGTTATGTTCGCCTTCATAGGTGACAATTAGCATGGTCGGCTCTTCCAAGCACCTCTCAACATGCTTTCTAGCAGGACACCCTCTCATGCTGCTGCATTTATAGTATCCCCTGAAAATTTATAAGGAGGAATTAAGGTCAGTTTCCTCAAACACAAACCGTGTGGTTCACCTTCACCTGGTTACTGACAAGGTGAAAACAATAGAGCAAACCACCTTACAGTTATCTACTGGAAGGAGTTTGTGCCAAGACTACCAAATTGCTAAACTAATTTCTCAAACATGTTTTCGAGACATGAAAGATTTGTACACATAAATATATTCAATGATGACTTCAATCACCCCCTGGTCTATAACGATCTCATCAACCGGAATAACAAAGTACTAACACAGACAAAGGAATACAATTTAAATATCAGGGACATGTTTGCATACTTAAAAAATAAAGAATAAGAAACAAAAAAAAAATGCCCTACACGCTAGTGTATCATTCTCATGCACATTTAACTTCAATGCTTTAAAAGGAAAGATAGATCATAAATGCACACCAAACAGCACAACTGTCAGAAATAGCAATATACTTTAAAAAATTTTACAAAGCCCAATTTATTCATGGGGAGTCCCTTGAATCAATCAGATATCTGAAAGCAGAGCTAGAACAAACCTAGGGTGAGGGGAGCCCTTGATGGGCTTTTGGCCATACTTTCTCCATGAATAATCATCAGGGGGAATATCTGCAAGTTTGTTGCTGATAGCAGGCACCTTGATTGACCTTTTCAATCTATGTTTCCTGTGGAGAACACAGTTATTAATGACAGATTACAAGGACAAATAAAAAACCTTTGAAGTAACAGAAATTAATGAGCTATGTGCTACCTCTTCTTAGAGCAATGACATCTAGAACTACTCCCACATTTCAAGCTTCCTTCATCGCCTCTTGCAGAACATTTTCTCTTGTGCTGTTGCGAATTCTGATCAGAAGAGTGTGGAGCTCCTATTAAATGGAAGGCACTTCCATCCAAGTTAGCCACACTTCCGTCTATGCTCAAGGAAGAAATAAAAGACCTATTAGATGACATTGTTGGTGTGCAGCTAGTACTGTCAAAATTCAGGTTTATGCCACTATTGCTCCTTCGGAACATCATTTCTGCTTGATGCTTCAAATGTTGCTGCTGTTGTTGCTGCTGCTGTTGCTGCTGGAGCAACACCCTTTGCTGTTGCTGTTGCTGAAAGAAGTGATAGTGAGTTGATGAAGCCTGCTGAGTGAGGTGAAGAGCACTTTTCCCACTGGAGCTCAATTCCAAAGAGGGCTGTGCTAGAGAGAGTGAATGTTTAATGGTTGAACCCAGTTCCACAATTGAATTGTCAGGAAAGCTGGGTTGGAAAAGCTGCAGATTTTTTGAGTGATGGTTGTTGGTTTTGCAATTTGGGTTGTCTAAGAAGATACTTTGGTGGGTAAAGGGAACTTGAGGGTTTTTAACCTTCCTCACTCTTGCATGACCCAAACCACTCTTAAGCAAGGACACAACCTTCTTGAACTTTACCACAGCATCTCCAGTTTCCACCACTAAATTCCTATGCTGAACCTGATCCCTTGGTTGAGACAACAAACTCAGAACCCTATGACAGCTTTCAACAGCTGCTCTATTAGCTTGCTCAACCTCTTCCATATTAGCCTCTATAAAAAAAAACAAAAAAACAGACAAAAAGGGGCAAAATAAAATCTAAAGACCCCAAACAAGGGGCAGAACTAACCCAACTACACCAGAATACTAAAAAAGCAACATCCCCCACATCCACCAACATTCAGCCTTGTGAGGCAGATAAAATGACCCAGGTGGAAAAAATCCCATTTTTCACCAGACAAAGAGCCACAGAAACAGGATTTCAAGTTAAAGTTTCAAAATTCCAACTCAGGAAGAAAAAAAGACATGCTTTTTCGAAAGAAAGAACAACCGTTGAATCAGAACAAACCGAGGGTGCCTCGCAAGTTGCAGCATATCCTCTTCTAGAAAAAAACAACCCAATTTTCCAGTGAGAAAGAAAAGACAGAAAAAGCACCAAAGCACAGACCTTGACGAACTTGGTGGTGCTAAACCCTAGATTCTTCTTCCCTCGGTTTTGAGACTGAAAGGTGTGAAAGAGAGGACTTTGCTTCCCTTGAGACTTCACACAACACAACCATCATACACAAGAATACAAAGCTTCCAACTTTAGAGAATATATATATAATTCATATATATATATTATTAAAACCAGAGCAAGAAGAAAAAACATATATTATAATATTTGTAGCTCTTGCGAGAGAGAAGAAGAACAAAGAGGAGTTTGTTTAAATAAGCAAAATGCACAAAGGAAGAGGAGCTGAGAAATGAAACTGCTGTCCCTGTCACAGATTTGAAGGTGGGACCCACACGAAGACCTTTGTTATTCTTTTTCATCCTTTTTTCAGCTTTAATTAATATTTTCTTAGACCTACCCATTTCAGCTTCACTTTTACTACTTTCTCTTTTTCTCCCATTTATCTATTCAATTCAATTTCTTCACTGGGTTTCACTACTTTTCTTTCAGTTTCGAATTTTGGACTTATTACCTTGTGCCCTGCGTGCTTTCCGCATACCATATTTGCAAATTCCTGTATTCAATGTAACGTCTTTGTTCAGATTCAATTCAATTAATTTTTTTGCACTGTTCTGTTCTTCTTTTGAACTGGAAATTATCTGTGTTCTGTCATTCATAAATTTAATCTCTTCATTAATAAGTGATTAGAGTATATAAACTGTCAGATTAAGTGCTTTTGCAGCTTAAATAATAAATAAGTTACACTTATTTGAATATAGTTTAATGTTTATGTAAACAGTACACTATACATGCAATAGAAGATATTATAAATCAACTAATATAATTAAGGGCTAGTTTAATGATGAACCGTTATATTTAGATAAGAGTATGAAATCTTTCTTTAAAAAAAATGTGAGCATTTTTTTAATGCATACATTTATTTTTTATAGAAGTTTTTCAGTTACTAAAATAAGAGCATAGAATGAAATGAGCGAGTTAAATTGACAATATGTGTGATTCCATCAAAGCCTAAATTTGGTTAGTGAGAAATGAGCAGATGGTGTAGATGAAAATAATTTGGGTTGGCAGAAACTGCAATCCCTTTCTTTTAATTTTAAAATAGGCATTAACTAAAATAACAGTAACATTCTTTTAACTTTTAAATAAATATTTATATTTTTTAATAGATGATAGTTATTTATTTTATACTTTTAAATTAGACATGTAAATTTGTTTCAACTCATATAACTTGACCTCACCTACATGGATTTAGATTAAAAAGTTCCACTAAAAAAATCCATACAATCAAAATGCTAACAAAAGTCTCGTTGTTAAGAACCAACTCATGAAAAATTTTCTAAAATAAAATATTTATTTAAAAAATGAAAATAAAAAATATTTAAAATATTTTTATACATATAAAAGCATTTATTCAATCTAAAACTAAATTTAGTATGAACAAAGTTGGATTAAGTTTATGTTAAGTTTGGTTAAGCCAACATTACAAACTAGTTAAGATAGATCCAAGTTAGGTCGAATTAAATGAGTTTAAGTTAGGTCAAGACGAATCAAATCTAAGTCAAGTCGAGTTATACTTGACTGAAGTCGTGCCAAGTCAGACCGAGCATAAATTTGGACAAGTTAGGTCGAACTGAGTTTAGGTTGAGATAATTTTAATCTCAGACAAGTCAGGTTAGGTTAAGTATACTCGACACATGTAAGTCAGATTGGATTATATTTGAGTGAGTTCAAGTTGGGCATAGACTAGGTTTTCCTGAGTCATTCCAAGACAATTTGCATATAGGTCAAGTTAATGTTGATCGGGTTCATGTCATGCTGAGTTGAGTTGAGTTGAGTCCATATAAAGTTGAGTTTGACCCACATAGAATCGTGTCACATTGGGCCCACATTGTCCCTAGTCTACTCAGGCACATTTTGGGGTGAGATTAATCAAGTTGAGTGCAACTTAGATCGAGTCAAGTGAGGCTCACAATGGGCCAAGTTGAGTTTGATCCATATCAATTCGAATAGAATAGGGTTTATGTCGAGTCAAGCAAAGTTAGGTTGAGTCAAGTTAGACCCACTTCAGGCCAAGTCAATTTGGGTCATGTAATGCAGAGTTCAAATCAAGCCAGTTAGATTAGCTTGAGAGATGGTTGCCAAGCTTAGACCCAGGTTAAACAATGTTAGGTCAGACAACTTAGATTGAGTCTTAACCTTTTAATTAAGTTACAAATAAAACAAATTAATTAAGAACCAATTTGTTATTAATGTAAACTATTTAGATATCAATTTACAATTCATAATAGTTTAAAGATTCGTGCAATTCTGAAAAATATTTAGAAATGAAATGAAATCTTGTGGTGGGTCAAATTCACTTTAATCTTAGCACTAATCCACTTTATTTGGAAGATTAGAGTTTTTCAATCCACTCATTTCATGGAACAATAAAAAAAATTATTTTAAGATTTATTAAGGTTGATCTATGGATCATAGATCAAATTGACAACTCTATTTTTAATAAAACAATATTCACTTCTTATATTTTATTTGAAAATAATATATTATTTAAAGTTCACACACACAAAAAGTTGTAAAAATAAGTTAAAATTTTAAAATACAAAAAGTCAAGTAAATTATAAGAGAAAAATTGAATTATTTAATCGTTGAGACATGAATCTCATACTCCTCAACATTTTAGCGACTCCTTGGAAGCCTTTGATCAAATTCAACAACACTCCCTCGAGACAAAAGCATGAAAAAACTTGTACCACTAGTTGGAAGTCAAAACTATATAAAAAATCAATTGAATTAATATTTCATAATCTTCTCAATTAAGTCGTACAACAGATAAATCTACCAAAAAAGATAAAGTAAAAACAAATAAAATGAAACAAAAATATAAATTAAGGATAACTTAAGGAAAAAAATAGGTAAAAATCATAAATGAGAACAAAAACTTATTGGATGAGGACATAGATTAATTTTAGTGTGGAGAAAAAGACAAATAGATTCTGGATCACCATGTTAGAAGTATGAGTTAATCCTAAATTCTCAATATGAAGTTTTCTAATCCACCTTCACGTCATTATTGATGTTTATTGTGTGACACTATTATTCTCTATATTAGTAGAAACATATATACTATGAGAACATAGAAAATAAAGTATTAAAACTTATAAATGTTTTAAAATAATGAGATCGAGTATTTTAAAATTAAAATAATTTATTAATATAAATAGAATTTCTTAAACTCGTCTCATTACTTAAAACACAAATCATCTCTCTGAAACTATTCCTCTTAGTCCTTTCTTCCTTCTCTCTAAAAGTTCTAACTCCTCGATCATTTGTTTGACGATCAAGAAGCTCCTAGGAGATCACGACAAATTAATCTCTACATTTATCTGATCAATTTCTAGTATAGAGCAAGTAAGTCTCGACTCTTTTTTCTCTTTCGTTCCTAATTTGAAATCACGCAGAGCGATTATTTGTTGCATGCGTCTTATTGTTTCTCTTCCTAAATCTCTTGTAATCTGAGGTTTCCGTTTTCAATTCGGTGTTTTGTAGGTGTTTCTAGAGTTCCTTGAGCTTTAAGCAAGGGTTTGATGTTATAGAGCTTCGTTATTTCCGTGTAAGGTAAGGGAAGCTAAAGTTTTCTTTTAATTTTAATTGCAAAGTATGCATTGACAGTTAATAATATGAAAGATTGAATGTATGTTAACTTTGATTTTGGAATTGTATGCTTTATTTTAGTGTGCATGTGTGATTGAAATGAAATTGGTTGGATGAATAAGATTAAATATGATTATGGTTTTGTGTTTGGTTAATTTTGTGAAGGTTGATGGTATGAAATTGACATAGCATGGAGAAAACAAAATGAGTTGAATTATAAGTCATTTTGACTTTAAAGGAGGTTTTGGTATATAGAATTCTAGGTGAAGGGTTAAGGAGAGGAAACTAGAATTGGAAGTGAGTTTTAAGGCAATTTAAGACATGTAAGAGTTATGAGTTGGATAGAATACGATCTAGAAATAGGTAGTAGCTAATTGGTGGTATTTTGGGTTGTTTCTAGGTGAAATTTAGGGGTTTTGACAATTGAGTTTTTGAGATAATGGTTAAATGAGAAAACTAGTAATTTAGGGTGAGTTCTTAAGAATTTTTGGACTTTTTTAGGTGTTGAGTAAGCCAAATCTGTGTTAGATCTCATACTGAGTTCTTAGGTTGTCATTTTTTTGTCACACTTTAGTCCAAATTGGAGATTCTAGCTAGTGAAAACTTAAAGTATAGAGCCTGTGATGAAAATTAGATGTTGGAGTATGTTATTGAGTCCATCCAAACTTGTTCATGCCTTAGTTTACAAATTTTGAGTTAGAAATGGTAGATTTGAGTTTGGACACTTTTGGAGTTATCAAATGGTTGAGTGCACCTAGTTTTGAGCTAATGATCAAAGGAGTACTTTGCTTTAATTCTAAATGTGACTTTCCATCAATTATAGGGTGTAAATGATTCATTTGATCATTAGAACAAAGCTCAAGTGCATCAAAGACCAATTTTGGAAGTGTGAAATTTGTT